GGTAGTGCGTTCCAGAGTGTGGCTGCAGCAAATGAAAATGATCTGTGTCCGAAGGTCTTAGTGTTGGTGCGAGGGACAGAAATTAAATTGAGATCAGATGAACGTAGGGAACGGCCAGGCACATATTATATAGTCCTCTAGACCGAAGCATTCCCTATATACTTCCGAACATTGCGAATATAGCCTATTTATGTAATGCTAGTTTCTTAAAACCATACGGTATGCCTTACACAATTACACCTGGGCGAAATCTCTCCTGGGAGTGAATTTTAACACAAAAACAGGAATTAATTTCCATCCGAGCGCTTGCCGCATCTACACACAACGACGCAAACAAGACTAAATCATTTCATGGACAATGAGTCCGGGCCTTTTGTCATTAAATCTCACATCTAGAAATAGATGTAGAAATTACATTTGCTTTTATTTGATGCTAAAAGAAGTGATCTTTGGCTGATGTCATAAAATGGTACTCGCTTAAAATGCATAACCGTCCCCCAAAACAGCACCCGAAGCAATAATTCATTGTCAAGAACCCGAACAGAATCCTATCGGATAACATTTTAATCACAACGTATGTGGTTCTAATAAAACAATATTCGCATGGGAATTGGAGGTGAGGCAGGCCTACCGTACATTCCCGTTGTAACGGTGGGCAAGAAGTTAAGCTAATTCCAATATATTTTATTAAGTTAGCATTTCAATTTACAGATTAATGCTCCGGATGAGAACGAGAAAAGGCAAATGATAATCCAGTCCCATGATACTCAATTCGTTTGTTTAATACCATTAGTCTTGCTGCTATTCTTTTATCTCCATTCCATGAATTATGGAGGACTTCAATACACAGTTTTAAGTGGTAGTATTAAATTAACTCTCTCTGATTGAAAATATTGATAATCATACTGCAGTGATACCGTAATCCATAATAATAATAATATTTATTCGGCAAAGTAAAAAGTATACATACAATATTCTTGCCAGGAGTAAGTAATAGGCATAAGCCCAAATAGCAAACTGCTCTTACTCCATCATCAAAAAACAAATACAATGACAATACATTATAAATATATACAAAAAAGTAAATTCAAAATAAATTGATTTAACTATAACAAAATGAAAAACAGAGATAATTAATAGTTATTATTATTATTAATATTTTGAGATCAAGTGTTTTGTGAGCTGGGCTTGAAAGTCCGAAATGGATGTACATTGTTTAATTTCATTAGGAAGTTGTTCCCATAATCTAGGAAAAATAACAAAAGATGAATTTAAAAATGTACGGTATTAGTCTTGGCTTTCCAATGTATTAATCGCCCTTTACACCTTTCACTTGATCTCACAAGATTATTAAACGACAATGATAATCAATTCGTTTGTTTACTATCATTAGTTTTGCAGCTAGGCCTATTCTTTTATTTCCATTCCATGAATTATGGAGAACTTCAATACATAGTTTTATGTGGTAGTATTAAGTTAATTTTAACTCTCTGATTAGAAATATTGATAATTATATTGCAGTGACAGGGAGAGGACACAGAGGCAGGCCGTGTTACTGCGACCCCCCCCCCCCACCTCCGTTTTTCAACACTGTCCTTTCACGATTACTCCATCCCCCATTTTAACTCCGTCGTAACGTAACAGGGGTGGGAGGGCCACTAACTGTCCAAGACCAAATTGCTGACTTCACTTTTGTCGAAATCCAGTTTTTTTGCGAATCCCACCGATTTCTGACTCAGAATGTCGACCCCTGTTTCCGAATGCCAAACTGCCCTCTACTACTTTATCAAATTCACTTAGCGATGGCACCAACAGTTTTTTTTTTTCTCAGGATTATTGAAAATCCGAAAAATAACTGTAATGATTTCGTTAGTTTTATTCATTAACAAACCTAGCCTAGCACTTCGGGCACCCAAAATGTAATTAAGGAGAGAGATCGATCCCGTTTCTCCTATCAAGTATTCCTTATGTTCGTTTACGTTTTGTTACATGTATATCTGTCTATCTAAAGAAAATTAAACTATGATAAAATTAAACAGGCCTGCATTATTTATTTCTCTGCCGTAAGACTGCACAAAATAAAAATGGACACACGTAGTTTAGGTACATTGATCCAATGTAAACCAACATGTACAGAACGGCACGAACGTCCCATATAAACAAACACAACTTAAAGGAGAAGGTGTTTAACTATTGAGTGGGATGAACAAATCGAAAATATAAACATTACCAGATTTTTATTTTTCTTAAAGGTAGGGCTATTTTAATCCGTCACGCATCAATTATTCATCCCTTATTCTTTAAAATTGTAAAAAAAAAAATCTCATTTTAATATATAATATGTAGAGGCAGATGTAACTGCAAAAATGACAAGGACATTTTCAACGTTTAATTAAAGCTAGCATCAATTAAAGGAAAACGTAGACAAAACGTGGCATTGTCAACTTTCTTCTTCGTAATAAAACTCAGTGCACAATACGTTGTTGGGTGTTATCGGTATAGGTCCATAATTCGGCCTACATAGAACATTATCGAACTGAATGGACCTTTCCGTTAAGCCCCGCCCCTTGGATATTGTTGCTAAGGTCCTACAAGGCGACAGTGTTAAAACATACGCGAACACGTGCGTTTGTGGGACAACACGTGTGTTTGTGAGACGCGCGCGTATTCCTAGCGCTGTTCTGATTAGTCAGTTGTTAAGTTTGATTGACACTCCGGAAAGGTCAATTCACCTATTAAACCGGGGCTCCGGAGGTAAACACATTTTTGATTATGTTGTTCAACTGATTTTTCTAAGACACAAAAAACATATTTGACGAAACCTCGGGAACGGTTAATGAGATACCTTTTTTTTTCCAATATTTAAAAACTGGGGAAAAAAGGTGTAACCACCATTTTTCCACCTTTCCCAGTTTTTTACATAATTATAGGTCTGTATTAGATGCAATTTAGAAATATTGGCCCATAATAATGTATCATTTGTGTTTAATAATGATCGTCCCTTTAATTATCACCAACACAATTCATAAAATATTGTCGCGCGTTACCAAGGTCCACTTGGTAAGTAATAAAATAAGGAACTTACAGGTAATAACCCGTCACGGTTCTAGCAGACTGTACAACCGTTTGTGGTCTCATTGAGGTGCTAATGAAATCAATCACCGAGGAAACGCGATGTGTAACCGACATTGAATTATATTTTATTTACTAACAAAATTGTTGTCACCGAGGGTAGAAAAGTTGTCGATACATTCCACTAACATCATCGCCAATAACACCACCATCATATCATTGTTCATTGTCATCTAATCCAGGTATTAAATACCGCCTTGATTTAATTACAATTAACATCATCATTATTATCATCATCATTATTGATTGTCGTTATTATTATTATCTTCATCACCACCATTTAATCATCATCATCACCATCTTCATTAGCATCATCATCATCACCACCAACGCCTTATCTATCACCATCTTCATCAATAACACCATCATAGTCGTCATATCGTCTTCGTCTACGTTATTGTCGCTATTGTTAATTTTTTGTTGGTGGGAGTGTTTTTTAAAAAATTTTTAAAAATTTTATTTACAGTATTATTAATAATTCGTATTATATTTCTTTGCTAATAAATGCTGCACTCTTATTTATAATACAGTATTGAGGATACAAACTGGCCCACACACGTAAATCACTTGCTACTTTTTTCGATACAACAATTTGATTCAATTTATAATCCAGTCAGTCTGTACATGAAGCATGGGATTTGACACCAATTTACATCGTTACTAACCGCGGCAACAGAATTGCAATGATGTTTGAAAACATTCCCAGCTAGGGGCTTCGGAAATACATGCCTCCTCACAGGACTTGTGTTATTGAGTTGTCAGTCGTACGTAATGTGCTGAAATAATCTCTACATGGTTTCGGCATGTTTCTTGTTCTAGGTACAGCGAATCAGTTTTGCACCGAAAGTAACATAGTATTGTGAAATGAACTAGATGCGTCGCACACTGTAATTACATTCTGTAAATATTACAGACTATTAAATATCGTAGCGTGTAAACATTGTTGACGGAATGAAAATGTTATTCTAAGCTGGAACATTATAATTCGATTTGTTTTGACATGGGCGTACGCGTAGAAGTGGCAGCGCACCTTGTAGGGGGTGGGACGGGGTTATACTCATGTCACTGCATCAACAAATATTTGGTATTTCTCATCAGCATTAAACTGGATGTTTACAAGTTTTTTGTCAATTAACACTTGATACAGATTCACTCTTTTATCACTATTTCAGAATAATCTCCTGGAGGAAATTGCTGACCTGCGTATTTGTGACAGTGTCCAGTCAGTTGACCTTTTTGGTATAAAATCGTGACATTTACAATATCTATAATAGACCTATACCTAGACCAGTGGTCACCTTACTATTGAAGTTTAATTTGTTGAGTGCAGAATTGAGTTGGCCAAGTTTTCTATCGGCCAACTCAGACAGCGTCGTACGACGCAGCCCGACGCGATTTGTTGTCGCGCGATGGTGTGCGTCGGGGGCAGGCGTGTCGTAGAATATTAAACATGTTTAATATTTTTCACGACGGCTCAAGACTGTCCCCGACGATAAATCGGGTCGGTGGGCTGCGTCGGCCGACGCTATCTGAGTTAGCCATAACGCTCTCCAACTGGTCTGATATAATTTAAGACGACAGCTCTATCATATCCTAACAACCTCTTGTAAGGATTTTAATTTGTGAAAGATTGATGTGAAGGGCCTCTTTGCGGCTTTGGAGTATTCCATCATCATCGTAGTCTTCCATTCATAACCTTGAGTATTTTCAAATTCATCGTTGAAATAGCTTTATAATTTTCATTCATAAATGTTTTCATACTGTAGTGTCGCATATTAGGCCTACGATGTACGTTTTAACGGGTTGAGAATATTTGTGGGACAAATACTGTATATAAAATTGTTGCTGTTTTAGCGAATAGGTACGGTAGCATATTCGTTAAGCCCTATATTAAAATGATAGGCTTGTATGATGGTTTTATTCCTAGGCAGGCACACACGCACACACACACACACACACACCTGTCTCTTATACACATCTAGATGTGTATAAGAGACAGGTGTAACCGACATTGAATTATATTTTATTTACTAACAAAATTGTTGTCACCGAGGCCTATATATCACAATTTCACAATAACTTATGACTTTTAAGTTGTTTCCTGATTGATTATTTGGTCCGTCGCGAAGATGCGCATGGCATAGAGGTTTAGACCTGTGATTTCATTTTAATAAGAACAATACAAGGTCTTAATATTCTAGCAAGAGCAAAATCCCCATTTGCCAAAAAGGATCTGATTCAAAATCTCCTTTAATCTTTGTTTGGATAAGTTAACACTGGGATTATTTATCAGCAACCCAAGGTTGTCTTGCAGATTAATATTCTTTCTTTGTTTCTCTAAAGAAACAAATGATTTTTCTATATTTTAACGTACAGTACCGGTACCACCAATAAAGGCCTCGGCAACTTTTGAATACACCATATAGGAAACCCTTCGAAGTTGTTGGAAGTCATTTCCTGTTCATCTTTCGTTACAATTTACTAAAATTGTTAAAATACCAATGCCTGTCTGCCAATTCGAATCCGGTAGGCAAACCTCTAACTTTTAACTGAACATGACATGGTTCGTAAGCATTTAAACCATTCTGGGAGAGATATTTCTAGAAGGGGAATACCAGTGTTTCACTGTCATGTATCTACTAACAATGATTTTATACAGCTCAGTGTAGCATGCAGGGGGTTGTTACCGAAAATAGTTAAAATCAAATAATTTCGGGATCTCTTTTTCGAACATTAATTCTGACTTCAAAAAGATTAGTAGACCTACATAGGACTAGTATACTGTTATAAAGTCTTTATGTGAATCGTCAACAGTGGACATAGTAATCGTCTCAGACAGCTGGGGTCAAATATAAGACGAAACTAGTTTTCGATGATCACCACCAGACCACTAACAATTAAAAGCTGTAGTACAGTAGTGCTGACCTATTTATCTATTAACTTCGCAAACATTCAGTAGAACAAGGCCTAAATTAATTATAGGATAAAAGCTACGAATCTTTCTCTTTGCAACCGTCTGCGTTAAGGTAATAAAATTGAACAATAACATTTAATATTTGCTTACTTTTTGTATGGTTTTAGTTTTGATTTAAAAATTAGAAATGTTTTAGAAAAGAATATCTTTATTTCGGTATTTACCGCTTATCTCGTACCAATGCAGTAAGCGCAATAACGTTTGAATGAAAAAAACAATTCCCAGCTTTCATATTTTTTGAAAGTGTTTTTAACAGTGTTTTTGACCATTAATTGAATCTGAAGTATATACAATCTGTGCTGTGGATTAATGCGCTCTGGGCCTTATATAAATAAACTACATTGAATAAGCATAATAAGCTGTACTTGTATAACTTTTCCAACTTTCTTCAGTACGGTACGTTCTGGTAGGTCATATTTGACTGATGAGACCTGGAGTGTTTGTAGTAGTTGCAAGATATTTGGAAATATTCCTGAGTATTGATGTCAAGCAGAGGTGACATACTTTATCAAGGTTACAGTGTGCGGAAGATAAGAAGTCCATTAGGCATAAGTGATTTAAACACATAAGTCTGATGGTTTATGACACCATCGCTGATGCAACGAAAGTCTCTTTGAAATTATTTAAGCCTCCATAATATTGTTGTTTTCACCAAGAAGTTCGAGTTAGTTGCTGGAATATTTCCAAACTTTGCTAGAACTTAGATTTGAATATAATACAAACTCGTAATTTATAGTTGTGTTAAACATAGCTTGCCAACAATGTCAAATATTGCAGCAAAGTCAAAATACGTTAGTTGATGAATTAGGTCTACAAGAAATCTATATAAATATATCAAGGTTATATGGGTCGTAATTTCGTGTATACGGCATGATAGTTTTGTAGTTGTTTTACATAGTAAGCGGTGGGCAAACCTGAGCAGTAAGATGATAGCGGCCTGATTGTGTTTTAAGAATTTCTTAATCCCATGTTTGCTAGGTCTGCCACTTGAATCTTCACTTTCTATTATTTTATTTACCATAAAGCTATTTTTAGAAGATGAAGGAAGCAATTCAAAGAAGGTTCACGGTCAAATAGAGGAATGGTATCGACTTTAACTAATAATTTCGAGAATTCACAAAGAAAAACTACTGGGTTAAACCGTAGGCCTACAATGTACGTATAAAACCATAAATAACTGAATATACTATTTCAAAAAGAGCACATTAAAAAAACTACTGGCTTACTCACTATGCCTACATTTAATTAATATACAAATATTGATGGTTAGGCTTATCAACAAAATATCAAAATTTAAGTATTTTGTATGTGATCTATGACCACCTATCGCTCCTATTGTTATCTAAAGGCCTGCAAACATAGCAAGTATGGATTTTAAGATTAATTTGGTTTTTAGTAGATTGAGGATAATAGGCCGATGGTACACAATCACATTCAACATACCGAACGGAATTTTACCGAAATAAATATATTTTAAAGTATACTTTTTAAACTTAAATAGGTACCGTATTAAATCCGTAAAATATAACATATTTTATTTACCTTATTTTTACATTTATTTGAACTTTATTTAATGAGGATAGCCATGCACCTCACCATTATGGACATATTAAGCGATCCTCAACAAACATGCATGTATTTCACATTTAATAAAAATCAAAATGAAACATAGGCCTAAATGCACGGTTTCAAATGATATTTCCATGAGCATTCTTAAGTACGGCCCTACTATTGAATATGCATTGGATGTGTTATTTAATGTTACCATCAACAATCTTAAGCATATGGTAAAAAGTACATACCGACGTCTGCTTCACAATAATGTTCTTGTGGGTGTTTGTGGACATAAAAGTTTGAGTCTGCAGCGATATAACGATGGCAGGCAATGACCAGAGATGCACTGACCATAATGACCAGGAGATGCAACAAGGGTGTGGTCATTGTGAAATTGTTCAGAAGTTGTATCCAGAGCACGGTGATTTCCAGCGATAATATACTCAACACTGCCGCGGGTAAGAGAATGCGTATCCCTTGAGTGTGAGCTTGTTAAAGTAGTCCTATGCAAAATCAACGATAATTGAAAACTGAGAGGACCGATAGCACGTTAGCAATATAAGAGTAGGACCAATGTCAACATTTCTTGAGATATCGTATTTCGTTGTTATCGGCGGGGTAATTATTCTGATCTGAACATCAAACAATTACAGTTTAAAAAAAAAGTTTTAAAGCTGTTCTCACCCTCTTCAAAGTTAACAAGATTTTCTTTCCGATTTCAACTTGTGCTATGCCAACTATTTGCTACTGGATTTTCTGCGTTTAACTGTAAACCTCTTTAATTTAATGTCGGAAATGTCTGAACTGAAATAGAAACACCTTAACGGATGACAAACATTTAAATGCACGGATTTGATATCATTCGTTTGACTCGTGAAGAGAACGAGATGGACAGGAGCTAACCGGAAATCAGACTACAACCTTTCTTTCCGTCTTTAAACAGCGCGAACAAGTACTGGCTGCAAAAGTTCGACCCGGCGGCCCTTCGGACAAATTGAGGTCAAAGCAAAAAAGAAATATTTGAAAGTTGCACTGAGAAATGTAAACAAATAATAAATGTTTTCATGTGTTGGCATAGTTTGACAAATGAGAATTAGATCTAGTGGACAAGCATGCCTCATTTCACCCTTGCAAACCATGTATGACCAAGGAGAGAGAAAAGTAGGTCATGGAAGTCTAAGATAGACAGTACTTGTTAGCGATCAATCGACAGTTAGACGACTCCAAACGCATAGTACAGATTTAAATACAATATACTATTTTCATCGCTCCGGTGACACTTGATCGCACTTGATTGGATGTGTTATTAACTTTAATGTGCAGATAATGTTTTAGAACAAAACAACTCTGCCATAAAGTGTGACTGTTCTCCATATTACTATAGTCATTATCTGGTACATGGGACTTTTTTTAGTTAGGGTATCGACCAACAAGGGCCTAAATTTCAGGCCTAAGGCACAACATGTATTTTATTCGCACACACACGCATATATGTATATATATTTATATATATATATATATATAATATAGAAAGACAGCAATAAAAAGCAGCTATGAGTTGTAAACATACTAGAAGCAATATAATTTATTTATATATTTCTTCTTTTTCGTATAATCTTTGAAACATTTTACCATACGGTATCTTTATGACCAAGCAATTAAGTGTGCCATCAGAGGGCGTCCTACTGATATATAACGAGAGGAAACCGTTGTCTAACCATGGGGAACATATTTATTATTTCTCCATGGTCTAACAAGCATGACTCTAGTAATAAAAAATAAGTATAAATTAATTTATTATCTATAATCACCTCCACCAGCTTTATTACTGTTCTACACTTTTGGTACTTTTTGTTGTTTTTTTTTTCTTTACTTCGTGAAAAGTAAGATATAAAAAAAATCTTGAGTTTTGTATCAATATTAATATATAATCACTTATATTTTTTTTAATAATGATAAGCACGTATTTGGCGCTCCAAACAATGCAAACCCTCATATCACCGAACAATGGACACGATCTCAAAAAGTAATTTCGTTGTCACACATGAACGTTGATTTTTTAAAATATTAATATTATCCGCGTTTTCATGTAATTTCATCTTTTAAACAATTTGAATAATTTTTAATGTTTTATGTTCATCTGTTTCTGGTCGTACGAAATGTAGGGCTTAGGCCTTCTGTCTGCTGACGTTGCAAGACTGTGACAAGATCATTGTCAAATGCCTAGGCCTATTGTATTTTTCTCTGACAAAGCACTGAAAAATCGTCTATAAAAACCTCGTTGTCCAGGAAATCGATGTTCTGTAAAATAATGATCACTAGGATAATCTGTCTATGAATTCTCTACACAATTTTAATTTTAGCCTTAAACAGATAATTTTGATCACAAACTTTCAATTTCTAATAAAATCGAATGAAATGTGTTTAATGCTACTGGGACCACCACTGGTGTCACGACATTCTAGGTTGCCAACTTCGATATAGTATGCCTATTCATTTTTTGTTTTGAGTAATGAGATATGTGTATACATAGTTCGAGTGCTCAAATTAAACATCCTGTACATTGAAAGTCAAATGGTACGTGGCTTTATTTAAAAAAACAAAATGTTTGTTTATGTACTTGGTATTGTCAACAAACACTCTCAAAAATCGACTTATAACAGGTTAAAAATGTTCAGATCGTCGGAGCACCACCTC